GGTGACAAATATTATTGCCTGGTCTACATGGAGCGTGCCCCTCTGTGCCTGCAACAGCTTCTCTACAACAACAACAACAACAATTGACAGACCCCATCTTCAACAATGAAATAAACCGAAAATGCTGCAAAATTTATAACGCATACATAACAATTATATGAAACAAGCGTGATATTCCAGCCACTGCCTGATATTTATTTATGTGCCTATTAAAGAAATTACTACTTAAAGGCAGTTGAATGCCAAACAAAGTGAACAAGCTTTAAAAATTCGTAACAAATGGGCCAAAATAAGACTGGGCCTCTCAAAAGTAATCGAAAAACGCACAAGATATTAGAATATATTTGGCTTGGGATGCGGCATCTTTCGTCTACAGCTTTCAAATTGGCTCAAGCTTCTTTAGCATATGTAATTTATAATACGGAATAGTCAAAAAGTGATTGACTGAACGACTTATTGACTGACTGATTGACTGACTGACCGACTGACTGACTGACTGACTGACTGCTTGAGTGATTGATATTCAACGCACAGTGCTAACTGAAAGAACCATTAAACTGACCAAACTGCCTGGAAGTTTAAAAAAATCGAGCACAACAGTTGCATGCAAAATTGACAAAATTCGCAGAAAACCATAAAGTCCAAGTTTAACAAACTCTCGAAAAACAGTTGAATGCACCTTTTCTGAAAATTCATTGATGACATGTTTCACACTTTTCGAAAAGTACACCCAATCTCGCGGCATAGGTTGTGCATCAAAATTTCTTCACGTGTATACTTCAAGTGCGAGAAATGTTTTTCTTATGCAATAAACGAAAAACTCATTGTCGATAATCTATGCAAAAGCGTTTTTGACGTGATTCTGCGTTTATGATGAAGCGATTTGAGAGCAATTTAAATTTACCCATTGATAGACAACTGATGTCTAAAATATGATTAATCGAGCAAACGGTTTTTCAGCACTTGACTAGAGTTTAAAGTATTCCATGACAGAAGCTGAGAAACATGTAAATATACATAAATATAAGCTGAGGTAAAGCTTTGGTTATATCTCGACTAACAAGCCAATACTCTGGCTTGTCATTAAGCAGGTGATGCCTGTCCCCTCGTATCCTCAACGTTGTGGCAAAGTTGTGGAAAATGGGTGAGAGAAGTTGGCCGACATCTATTGCCACAATGCCCATTGACATTGAGGTTGTAATCAACAATTAAAATAATGCTAAATACTGTGATAAAATGCGCAAAATGACAGGGACATTGTCATTGACAGACATTCAGCCCGACAAAGGGATGCCACAAAGGACGAAAAAACAAAATAAAAAATATAAAAAGGGAGAAGGCCAATGGCCAAGTGAGGGCAGAATAAACCACAATTGAAGGTTGGGTCTGCTCCGAGTGGAGTCTGTTGTGGAGTGTGGGGTGTGTACACGAATAATGAGGTAAACCGCAAAAATTACACAAATGCGAAAGGGCAAAAATTAAAGATAGAGAGAGCGAGAGAGAGAGAAAGAGAGTGGGAGTGAGACGGGAATAGAGCTGAGCTTTTGACTGTTTTTTATTGTTGTTAAGAAAAATGAAAATATGCCAAAGTGAATAATTTCTTTTTAATTTCCACTTATGTAAACGCACTTAACACCCACAAGGGAACGCTTCATTTTAATACGGCTGGTGTATCAAAAATTATACGAATTCTGTCCAATTTAAGCCGGCACCCAGCCGGAAGTAGGCGTGGCAAACGCCAGTCGCCAGCCATAGCCGAGGAGCGAGTCCTGTGCGTGACTCTGTTCTGCTGTTTGTTGCAGCGTTTGTTGTTTTGGCTTCTTTTTTTTGGGTTTTTCCTTTTTATTTTTTGCTGTCAGTTTGTTTTAGTAATCGACTTATTCATAGCCTCTACAAGCGATTCAGTTGCTGCTTGGCTGTGCTTGAAGGTGGAGGAGGGGTAGGGCGGTCACAGCTTGGCTGGAAAGTGATTGCGATTTCGCATTCGCTTTGTTTTTTGTCAACTGTAGCACGAGGGCACAAAGGACGATGGCGATGTCAGGATCTGTCATTACCGTTATTTATGGGCCGCATTTTAAAACACATCAAATGGGAGCAGCAGAGCGCCACTGCAGCGGCAATGGAACGAGCACTACCCAACACAAAATGCCCAACCTCATCAATGGGAGCCTGCAAAATGGCAAACGAAAACAGGAAACATTTACATTGACAGCTGAGCCCCGCCTGGCCGGGGCTTTTGGTATCCGAGCACAACAAGGACATCCCCCCGAACAGAGGAGCGCATAAAAGTTGATAAAATTGCTTGTTCAACAGCCAGAAATACACTGAACCGAAAATCAACACACATACCCAACGGGTTAACACAAGCTTGAGCCGTGTATTCTCATTCGAAGCATGCAAAAATATGAACCAGTCTTTCAGAGCTGTTTGAAGTTGCAAGTTAAAGTTTTTTCTGAGCAAAGCTGGGGGAATCCTTATTCGAGACACTTTTCAGAAAATACACCCAAAACGGAAGATAGTTTGTACTCATTTGAAAGCTCTAAATTATAAAAGAATACGTAAATACGCTTGACTTTAAATATATACAAAAATATGATACCCGGGTAATGCTCGCTAGCATAATATATTTCATTAAATTGCTTAAAACGTTCAACCAGACGTAACAGAAAAAACTTCCTCAGTTGCAAATCGTAAGGATTTGTGTGTTTTGGCCAACAACCAATTCAATGTGAATCCCAAGCGTTTGACTCGATTAAGCAGCAAGAAACCAGTAAACCATCAAACCATCAAACCCGACAGCCGAACCCTGAATTCCGCATTCCGCATGTCCCATGCCGAATGCCGCATGCCGCCGCATGCCGCATGCCGAATCCCGACCGGGCGACCCATTGACCAAGTTAAAAAATTCGTTGTGTTCCCTTCTAACCTACATATGCATATGTATGTCTCGCTTTGTGGGAGGCGAGTCATGTCTTCATATATCTATGTGTATGGAATACTTACATAAATACTCTATATACGTTTGTGCATGTGTGTGTGTGTGAATAGGGGAAGGGGGGGCGGGTTTTGAGTTATGCAAACTATGGTAACTGTTTGCTGTAGCGCATTTCATTTCCAGCAGCCACTTCAAATGCGGTTGGCAGCATTTGGGCCGCGGAATCAAGCGCCAAGAGACCTCATAAAAACGACTAACGGCACACAGCACACTAACACATATTAAAATGTGGCTTAATGGCACACACACACACACAAACACAGACACAGAGACACATATATAAACAAATAGCGCGATGGAGTCGCAAAGGGTTCAAAGTTTGGCAAAAATAAAAAAAAAAAAGGGAAAAGCAAAAAGGAGGCTTCGACTGGCAGATACCCTATGGCCTAACGCCGAGTTATTGTTGAACGTATTCTTACTGTCTTCTATACACTCATACACAAAGGTACACACATACACTGGCATCGATCTTTTCAATTCAAGTCTCTAGCTAGGAGCGACGCATTTATACAGATTGCCAAAAGGACAGACAATCAGACAGACAGACAGATGTTTACTTGAAAGGCTCGCAGAAAACTTCTACCTGTTACATGTCCTCTCACGCAACCAATATACCCTTTTTACATTCGTTTTCGATTGATGCAGGGTATAAAAAAAGTAGAAAAATGGGAAAAGCAGAGCGCGCGGAGCAAGCAAATGTGTTTCGTTCCATTTTTTGCCATTTTTGTTGTTTCTTTTATTTTTGGTTATTTTTTTACTCTCCGGTCTTAGCGAATTGGTGCCACGCCATGGAAGGATTTGCAGGGGATATGCATGCACACGATTGCATAATTTTAATCGGCTTAGGGTCCTCCTCTGGAGACTTGCTGCTGCCACGTGTCAAAGTTGAAACAGCCCAGTTCACAAACTGAGGCCGGAAACCAACTTTAACAGCATCTCAAAACAGCCAACAGCAACAACTGCAGCAGACAACAGGCATTTGGCATCTTCCGTCTGCCTCGCCCCGCCTTCCTATTTAACCGCCCGCGCTCGGACAGTGAGTGCAACGGGCAACAGTTCATTAATCTATTTATAAGTTCACGCAGACAGTTCGCATAATCAATCAATAGGGGCGCGTGGACAGTGGGCGTGGCATGGCGTTGACTAATGGCGAGCATGTAGCAGCTGTGGCTGCCCCTGCGGCTGCCGCTGGGTCTATGCGGCTCTGGCGAGCCCACCCACATATATCCGGCTATCTTTGGCCTTACCGCAGGCTTTTAAGCGGATAACGGCAAATCAAGCAATTAGCTTCCATTCAATATGGTGTACTTAGTTGCGGAAATTTTCAAAATGAATAGAATAATTTTTTAAAAATAAAAACTGCCAACCATCTTTGCACGGAGAAGCTTAAATATAAAATGTGTCTCATAGATGTGAGCCTACACACAAGCCTTCTTTCCGTTCGACTCTTCATATAGCACACATATTAAAAATAAGTAATTGCTGAGCTTGGTTACGATGTCCGGAAAAACAAAAAGATATTTCAAACGAAAACCCAACATAAATGATATAGTGCTCAGATAATGATTCGATTTTGTCATTATGTAAGTAGCATGCTAAAACTTGACAATATATCCTCCTGAAAACAGAGAACAGCTTTTTACAAACGAAATCAATATTTGTCTGGTCGTTCCCATGATAGATATATATGATATAATATTAACTTGCCTATATATAAGGGCTCGTAGAGAATATAAAACAAAAGACGAGTTTGGCCAAGATAGCCTGAATAACTACAAGTACAAGCAGCTTTTTTGCAGGGCTTAGAGTGGAATGTCAAACCTATACCCAGTTCCAAGACGAAAGAGAGAGGCGGACATGTAAATATGGACTCGACTATTAATTTGTGAACAATATATGGACTTTTTAAAGTGGGAGACGGGGGCTTCAAAATTTGTAATAATATAAAAAGTGAGAAGCCTCTGCTTGCATTAAAGTGACTTAATGAGCCGTGAAAATTCTTACACCAAATCCGTGTCAAATGGCGTTATTTAATCATAAATTTAACAATGGATAGCAAACTATACAGTTGAGTGGGGACTAGACAATTTAAACGGAGCATAGACAATATCCGAAGTTGCACAAGAAATAAGCTAAAGCTTAATATGACCTCGACTCATGCGTCGGATGAATCCGTTGTTGTTGCCGTCTTGCGGCGGGAATCAAAGCTGCATAGACTTAGAGGTTGCCGAAATAAGAGCTTTTGGCTGCATTGGCTGTTCCGCAATGGCCTTGACACTGCCAGTGTCACCAGCTATCTCAGTGCCCTGCTTGGGGTCATCCTGAGCTGGGGCAGCATGTTGGCTGCCATGATGGCACTTGCACTGGCAAAGCTTACCCTGCTGCTGCTGTTGCTGCGGTTGTTGTTGCTGTTGCTGTTGCTGCTGTTGCTGTTGCTGCTGTTGCTGTTGCTGCTGTTGCTGTTGCTGCTGTTGCCGTTGCTGTTTTTTTAGACGATTACGTAGACGCACCTCGGGATGGCCGCAACAATGCTCGCATTCATCGTCCGATGATGAGGAGCTCTCGCCAAAGACATGCGGCTTCTTGTAAATGCAACAGCATTTGGATTTGCGCCGATTCATGCCCTCGTTATCAATGACACCCTCATGGAACGTAACATGACGCTCCGTATCCAAGCACATGAGCAGCAAATGGACACCCGATACCCCGGGCCGATCATCTGGCACAGCTGGTAGTACGCTTGTCCCAGATGAGCCCGCTACAACTTCTGATCCATTCACAATGATAGTCGCGCTGTCTCTTTCCATGCCGATCGGTTGAGGTGGCTGCTCTTCCATACTGTAAGATTTTTGTCAAGATATGTCGAGAGTTGTCGAGAGTTTTCGAGAGTTGTCAAGAGTTGAGTGTGTGTGCGTGTAATGAATGAAAATGCCCAGGGAAACAGACACATATAAATACACACACGCACACACCTGACAAACAAATTGAAAAACTTAAGAATTCGCGTTGTAAAATGTTTCAAATTTCGCTCGTATATTGCTTGTCTCCGAACGGAGGCCTTAATGAAAAGCCAGCTCAGTTTTTAACCTTTTCTACGCTGTGGTGGCATGCTGCGGAAGGGGTTGAAGGGGGGCAGCTTGGATTCGCACAGTTTATTGACCTTTGCCAAGTAGCATCAGCTAAGCCGCAGTCGTTTGGCTGCCAAAAGCTTGTGCACGATTAACGTCAGCTGGGCGGCAGCCAGCAGCCAGCAGCCAGCAGCCGGCAGCCAGAAGCCACGCCCACCACGCTACCCAAATGTTTACCCAAAATGCATTTGACTGCCACGCCCCCAGCCGTCCGTTGCTGCTGCTGCTGCAGTTCGCCTTTCTTATTGAGTGAGCCATTTACCCCTTGCCAATAGCCCCCTCTACAGCCAGACACACACATTCACAAACACCACATACACGCTACTCCCACCCGCAATTTTCGATTCGTTTTTCGTTGGCAAATAAATGTTCAAAATAATATTAGCACGGTTTGGGGCGTGGCAGGGCGGCCTGCGACCACTTGAGGTGAAGGAACTTTGTAAAAGCACTTAAAAAAAATTTCAGTTCCCTTAGCTATTTTTTGTTTTTTTTTTTCGGTTTTTATTTCGCTTTTTATCTGTCGTATTTTCTTTTTTGCCTGCATTTTTTCCTCCTTTTTTTGTTGTTGGGAGGAAGAAAAATGATGTGTCTAAGGCTGAAAAAAAAAGCAGCAACATTTACGAGTCTGAAAGCCCCCGCACCCAAACGAAATTATTCACATCTGTTAAGTTTTTAGTTGTTTTTAGTTGTACGTATACTATTTATTAAAGGAGCTGAACTCAAAATGAACAAAATTGTGGACGGTGTATTTCAGTCTTAAAACTCGTAGAGACCAAATGATTATTTAAAATGTAAGCTGCTTTATACTTTACTAAAATAAATAAATTATGTGCAATTTTGTGTTGCTTTTACTTCGACTCACGTCAAACTAATTTTCTAAGTTCTTTTGCAGGAGTTCAATTAATAAAGAATATAGATTTATGTTAAGTTTTTCGGCTGATGTTTTAGCTGAATAAAATCTGATTTGGTAAATTTGCCCGTCTCTGAATACATTTTAAACTACTTGTTGGCCATAGACATAAACGTTTTGCTGCTCGTAAAGTGCATTTAAATTTGTAATAGGTCACAAAAAGAAAAAGGTGCGTTATTAAGCCTGATTCGTTTTGCCGACCATAACTTTTCGCTCAGCCATTCAAATGAAATCTAAAATTCATTACGCATTTTATGCAAGAGCTCAACGGGCAATGAGGTAGGGCGCGGGTTGAGGACGGGCAGCCCGAACTCGAGCTGAAACTCGACACGTAACGACTCAAAGTAATGAGGCGCGTGCCTTGCCATCCTGCGCCCCACTGAGCTGTGCCACATGCCATTTGTGTCCCAATGGAGACGCCCGCTCATCGCGACAACAGCAACGCCAACGGCTTTGCCAGTGCCTCAGCCTGTGCCGCCGGCTTATATCTAGCAGCAAGCAGGCGGTTCGGCAGACGAAACTAGCTGGAATTGGTAGCCTCAGGTTGAGGCTTCGCCTGCGCCACTTGCCTCAGCGTCTTTATCGTCGTCGGAGTTGTCTTTGGGGAATAAGATGAATTACATGCTACTTCAGGCAGCTGCCAGCTTAGATGCTGACGCCGACGACGACGACGACTGCAGCGGGCACGGCACCAGCTGGCAGTGGTAGCCACTGAAGACATGTAGATAAGATGTTACGTATACGCACAAAAAGGTACCAGCAACTAAATCCCCAAGCAAATAGTTTTGCAGCAGGCAACAGCGTGGCCAGCGGGTGAGAGGATGAGAGGGATAGAAGGGCAGAGGGATAGAGAGGCAGAACTGTGGGCTGCGTGAAGGCTGTGAGCAGTGCGGGAAATCAACCGCACGGAAATCATGTCTACGCATCATTCTTTGTGCGCTATTACTTTACCAGCAGGCAGGCTACCTCGGGCAACTCCACCAGCTCCTGGCCAGGCACTCTACACCTCGGACAGCGAAACTTTGTTTCTTCGTTCATTTTTATTATTTTCTAGAGGATATTCTTATTTGGACATGAAATGTGTAACGCATAGAAGCAGACATCATTCGGCCGCATAAGGCATATATATTCATGAACCGCAGTGGTACGCGAGTCGATGTGCATGTAATATAGGTCTTACCATCTATTGGAGGCAGTACATATATTGTAATGGATCGGATCAGGCTACTTTATCAGAAAGTATGTGAAATACATAGTATTTATAGTACATATAGTATACATAGTATATATAAGTATTCTCCTTATATATCAACAGAGCCTAAGAGAGTATTTACTCTGCGGCGTGCTTTCTTATCTTGTTATATGTATTTTTCTTCATTTTCTTACATTTTTTTTTTTGTATTGTATTTCGTTTGCCGCACTTGTGTGAATTTGCGTGGCTGTGTGGAAATGTGTGATAAGCAGTTTCCGCCTGGGAATAAGGCAACAAAAAGCGTACAGTGAATATAGTTCTGGTCTAGGCTTTGCTTTCCTTTCAATTCTTTTGCTCTCCTTTTGCTTTGGCTTGCCTTTCCTTTTCTTTTTCTTTTTTTTTTTATACAACTGGCCATTTTCCTTTTCACTGGCGTCGAACTGGCGTGTCGAGTAGGAGGATCCTGACGCCGCCAGCAAATACAAGAGCAGAGTTAAGCAACGGCAAAACGGAAGCTGTGGCTACTAATGCAAATATAATGGCAAATGTTTCGGAAATATTTCACAGATAAAATTGATAAAGGCATATACCCATTGCCTCCCACACCTTCGTACATTCCACTCCCACTCCCAGTCCCATTCTCAATCCCATTTCCATCGCAATTCCCTTTCATGCCTGTTTGTCTGTTCCGTTGCCATTGTGCAAGCAAATCGGAACGGAAAACTATTTAATGGCATTTGTACCCCTTGCGCCAATAACTGAGGACGCAGTAAAAAATAAATAAAATAAATTCATATGGAAGTTGAATCGTAGACATTATTTCAGGTTATCTTTCAGCCTCAAATAGATTTTAATACTCTGCTCGCAAAGTGATAAAGGGTCTGTCTGCATATTGAAAGCAGAGTTTTGCGCAGTCAGGCTGCCCTTACCTATTCGCAGAGTGATTAGGACCCTGCCTGGCTTATGAAAGTAGGAATATATAATCTGGAATATTTACTCGGAAGCAGAGTATCGTGTGATCGTTACCTTTTATTGGTTAGAAAGAACTTGTTTTCAAATTTAGCATCTTCAAGGCGTTTTTATCGATTGAATTTAAATGAGTCTAAGACGCTAGCTAACATATTTCTGTCCTCTATTTGTATTTGTTTATGAAAATAAAATATTTAGTATGTTTATTGAGCATTAGGCTTAAAAACGGATATGGCCTATACCTACTCTTTTATAAATATAGATAAGAATAAAACATTTACATTAATAAACGCGTTCAACCAAATTTGCTGCATCCAGGCTTAAGGTATTTTTGAACAGACTGATTTTCACAATCTCTACATTGTTGAGCTGTATATATGTGCTGAAAGCCTTTATCATGCTTATCCTTGTAAATTTATAGATAAACATACATGCATATAGTTCATATGAGTGTGTGTGTCTGGCAAAGTCTTTTGGCCGTCCCATGTATTAAAGTTTCGCATATTTGTTTGTTTATGTTTAGGCTTAGCCCTAGCTTTGAGCTACTTAGTTGATTTTAGTGTTTGGCTAAAGTAATCGAAATAAATGAGCAAAAATAGCTGAGCAGCAGTTGAGATATGCCTTATTCTGATGCGTGCCGTGTTTGTTAGCATAGAGAAATTCTGAAAATTCGTTAGCATCACAACGGATTTTCAGTTGTGGAAAATCTAATACAAAATTCCATTACAATTATCAACATTTTATTTAACGCAAATAATTTGAAAGCAGCCCTTGCCATAACACAAACGAGTTAAGAGCTCCCTACCGACTCCGCCTCGCCCCGCCCCGCCCCGCCCGCACAGTCCAGCAACGTCCACGAACGATGCGAAGCGGCAAATGTATCATAAATTTTCATGTTTCTCTCGCTGTTGCTCCAAAAATACGAATTGCGATTTTCTATTGTGTTTCGCGAGTGAGTGGCGAGTCGGAAGTGCTGCGCGGGGGGCGTGCGGTGTGGATTGGAGTGGATCCAGCGGCATGAAACTGGCATAAAATGCGAAGCCCAAGACAGAACCCGTCCCAAACTGTAGTTGTTGCTGCTGCTGCTGCTGCTGCTACGGCTGCTGTTGCTGCTGCTGTTGCTACTGCTGAGGCAGCAATTTGTGTGTCCAGCCATAAAGCAGCAACGCACGCGAAGCAAGGCGCTGGCGAAGGCAAAGTACAAAAAAAAAAAAAAAGAAAAATGCAATACAATTTCATTTTATGCAAGAAACAAGGACTGGACAGGAACTGGAGTGAAGAACAGCATCAGAGCTGTGAGGCTGAACAGTAGAAGGAGGTATAAAGCGGCAGGCGGGCAAGCGGGCAGGCAGCACAACATCTTTATGGAGAAAAATTTTAAATTCCCATTAGAATTGCGCTCCGCTTTTCTGGGAGAAGTCGCCCCTTCGAGCCCGTTTGCATTGAAGATAAGTTGGCATGAGATGAAATGAAACCAAACAAAAGCGAACCAAGGCACCAGAGCCAAGCGGGGCGGGGCAGTGGGCGCCGCTGTCAGTAAGTAAGGAAGTGTATGTTACATACAGACAAACATAAATAAATAAATAACAAATAGCTTGCAAGTATATGAAAGCAATAAAAACATAAAATGCGCAGCTGAAATTAGATACACAAAAATGGCAGCAGCAGAAAGAACCGCGTCAAATTAAAGTCAAAAACAAAGGCAACTGCAGTAAAT